AGAAGTAATGCCTATTGTAATCTGATGCGGCATTTCCAATTATTCACGCCATTGATATCGACAGTTCTGCAGTTTAGACTTTAAAAGGTTTAGTTGATGATTACTAAAATAGCAGATGGGACGTTTCTTAAACATTCGCTTCGAATTTCATCTTCGTTAATGAACGTCAGTGACGCATCTTATGCAATGTTTATATCGCGCATCTCAGATTTAAGAATGAAAAAATGACTGAGTAATCAGTCGCGTTGATTTAGACTTGGCCTGCTTCAGATGCGAGAGTTGAATGGTCGAAAAAGTACGACGCAATTCTTCATAACGTTCAAAATTTTAAACTATAAAGGCCTACAACAGTTCTGTTGAAATAGCCTGATTTGACCTTTACGCAGCTTGTTTGATATTCGGTCATCACTTCTCAGAAATATATGGCATAAAAATTATCATATCGCCCAAGAAGGAACATGTACTGTAAAATTGTCAATTGCTCCTGAGCAGAAGACGATACTGCGACACGGAAATATTGAATCATGCAAATGGCTGACCTGCAACATAGTTCTTTGCCGAATTTACTAGAGAAATTATGGCTGAATAAGTTAAAGTGGGATTAGGAATTAAAGTGGGTTAGCAGACATGTGATTAATGCCTAGTTAAACCTTAATTCTTCAAGTTCAGAAACAGTCTGGAATACGTTACGCTTTTTACTTAACGTGTAATCGAAAACTTCGTACCGTTTCTTGTGTTTAGATGGAAGAAATAGTGCGAGATTTTGGAGTCGTTGTAGTTACACGATCCGGGTGCGACATTCGCAAGGAAATCTATGAATCAGATCTGCTGTATACGTATCAGGTAGAGGAAGCAAGTTCGCTTGTTAGCACGTAGTTACATGTTTTCCATAGGCGAAAATTCATGTTGTGAACGAATGGATTGGAAATGATGTCAGCTCTACTAAAATAAGGTAAAACGTAAAATCTGAATAACGTAATTTTAATTTACTACAGTGAGAATGGTTAATTTTTAATATTGAAAACTCCAGCTGAAGAAGACAGGTCATGTTCAACAAATAGATAACAGCACACCCTGTTGAGATCAACAGACTTGGGCTTTTCAAGAAGTGCAAAATCACGTCTATCTGAGGCAGTTCGCAACGGAAAATCGATTATGTGAAATCAGCTTAAAAATAAAAATGGCATAAGCAGCTTTGGAAGACTGAAACTGTTCATATTCGGCAAACTGCCCTTATACTTGAAAAGGAAATTATTCGATCTATCTGCGCCCCAGCGCCAGCCTCTGGGTGCTACAGGTGTAGCCTAAGCTTGAAAGCTACTGATAAATTGCAGGATACAGCATAAACAGAACGCAACATAAAAATAAGATGACGAATAAATAGGGTAAGAGCACAAATCAGAATCTGCTATATCATTCTGGCATCGAAGCAGTTGAAGTAGCAATGGATAGGACACGTTGCGAGGAGAAATGACTCTTGCTAAACCAGAGAAACATTAGATTGGAGTTCAGGAGAGAGTAAATGGTCCGTAGGAAGATCTCCAACTAGAAGGTAAATAAGCTGAAGTTCACTTGGTCAAGATGGATGAAAATGGCAGATAACAGGTTTATAGCAAACGGTGATGAAGATTTGAAGTTCATCACGATTTGCCATAGGCGTACGGCTAAAACAGTTTATTATTCGAATTAGACCACATTTGGAGTGTTCGTTTAGTCAGCAAACAGGTAATGTTTGCTAGGACAACATCTCGATTCTTGGTTCGTAAATAGTCGGTTGAAAGTTTTCTTCGTACATGGTTGCACCACATCACAAAAGATATATAAAATATTTACTTAACGCATAATGCACTTCGGTATGCCATCAACATCATTAAAAACGAGTTGTTCAGTTTATTGAAAAAATTAATCCTGCT